GTCAACATACATCAAGATGAAGCCACATCACCAATCTAACAATGAAGATGACTAGCTTGAGATTTGAGAAATGCAAAACAGTTACAGTAAGTCATACTTCTGATAAACACTTGTAATTAGAAAGGGAAGGAGGTGAAAAAGATTAAATATTACAATTAATCATTCAGTTCACTTAAAAAGTAGATGGGCTCATGATGTTTTCTCATGAAAACTAGATTAATTGCCTGACCTCAGTTTTTTAGTGCATACTCAAGTCTTCAAAGATTGATATTGAAGAAAGCTAATGGCACAAAACGGTATTACCCTTTAAAAATGAAGGGGACATCTGTTAATTGAAGTTGGTTTCTACAATTTCAGATCCTGTATCTTCCGTAGGCTCTGAGGCTCTTCTTTCACAGGTTTCAGGGTTACAGGGTTTTGAAGATGATGAACAACCTTCAGAAAATGATTTACATCAATGATCTTATATGCTGTCCAGCAGAAATGACCAGCAAATCATCTGAGTATCTATCAGCATCTCTGACTGCAAGATCCTCTGCAATAACATCATTTCCAAATCCATCCATAACATTATAAGAAGATGCATGAGTGTGCATACATGTAAGCATCGTAGAATGAACTCACCAATAAATTGAATTAATCGATGACTTATATAACTAGCCAGTGTCAATAGACGGGTGAAAATGTCATCCATTGATGAGTAGAATCCCAGACTATCAAAAAGAAGACTTGTGTTCCACACCGTATCATTATAGGCCTGATACAAGGACCTATATTAGATCTTTAAGCACAAGGACTGAATCAAACTGACAAAACTAAAGATGCCAAATTGAAACTTCAAACCCCCATAACCTTATTCCTGTGGGATAACATAAAAAAGAAATTAAAAAAATCGATAAGCTAATTATAATTTCTTAACTAATCTTGATCAAGAATAAGAAAGTTACAATAGAGAAGAGATACAACAAACATACAGAAAAAGTAGAGATAATTTGCAATAACGCACAATCGTAAAGTTGAGAAATGTACTCACTGCGAGAGGCATTTCAGATATTTCATTTTCAATATAGACATCACCCATTAATTTTTCGAATCCTGAATTATGCAACAAAACTATTAAGGTGATACAACAAGACAACTTAAAAGGATGAAACTTTGACACAATCAGTATATAACAATAAGAACCCAGATGAGTAAATCAATCATATGATGAGAAAAACACAACAAATCAACCCCATTCTTTCAACATACTGAACTTAAGTAACTCATCATCAAAACAAACTGTAATAAAGATATCAGATAGCAACTTACAGTCAAAGAAGGACAATCTGCAGAACCCAGAAACAGCCTGTGGCTCAGCAGAAGCAAAGCCAATTTAATTTATAGAGGGAAGAAGAGAAGGAACAAAAATCTGCAGACCCCATTTCCAAGGAAGTTTAAACTTGCTAAACATGAGCTGCCATAATTTTGAATCCCATCAATAAACATAGAAGAAAATGAAGT